AATGAGAAAAGAATATGAAAAGACATCTCACCAAAGAATATATACAAATACTTAATAAGCACATAAAAATGCTTAACATCACTAGTTATTAGAGAAATTCAAATTAAAAACACAATGAGATACCACTTCAATCCAGTGGAATGGCTGTTATCAAAAATAGAAAAATACAAGTTGGTGAATGTGAAATTGGAACTCTTGCATTGCCAGTGGGAACATAATATACAACAGCTTCTGTAGATAATGGCATGGTGGTTCCTCAAAAAAATTAAACCTAGAATTATCATATGATTCCAGATCTCACCTCTAGTTATATACCCAAGACTACTTAGAGCAGGTACTCACACAGGTGCTCGTATGCCAGTGTGTATAGCAGCCTGATTCACACTACCCTAATGGAAGAAACAATCCAAGTGACCATCAAGGGATGAATGAACGATATGTGATGTACACCCAACACAGCATTGTAAGTCCTTAAAAGGGAACAAAATTCTGAGACATGTGATGGCACGGATGAGCCTTGAAAACATTTCACTTGGTTAAATAAGCCAGATGTAAAGAGAAAATGCTGCATTGTTATATGAGATATGTAGAAGAGTAAAATTCATAGAGGTAGTTATGGTGGGTACCAGATGCTAAGGAGAGGGATGGGCAGGGAGCTGTAGTTTGAGTTATACAGACATAGTTTAGAATGATGAAAAATTTCTGAAGATGGATAATTGTTATGGCTGTATTTAAAGTTGGTTGAAGTGGTAAATGTCATTTATGTTTCATCACACAATATATTTTTAAAAAATGAACATGTATTTCTCAAAATTTGTTAGGAAAATAGTCCTTGTGATACCAAAATTATGGCAGTTAGCAGTTGGTCAAACCCAGGAAGATACAGGAATATTTCCCTCATATTTTGCTGAACAACAATCTTTTGTAGCTTTGTAGAACACTATACCGATAATCAAAATATGTAAAATATTACCCTGATCTCACCATTTTTTTAGTTTCCAGAATACAAACAATTAAACAAGAAACTCTCAGTGTTTATCTATAGCACATTATCTCTTTCTTTAACCCAAAAAATAATAAGGATTTTCAATAATTCAATGTATTATAGAAGAAAAGGAATATAAAATAATAGTACGGCAATCATCAAAAATGATAAAATATTATTTTGTGCGTGAAGTAGAGAGTTCTTGAACACTTACTGTGATTTGGTTTTCATGTGTGAAAAGGAATCCAATCGAAATAAACCCTATTCATGCCTTCCCCGAGCTTGTCATTCAAGTCGCATCGGTTTATTATACAGAGTTGTACCCTGGGTCAGTCCTTTACTGCTTTCAAACCGCATTGCTGCCACACTAGGTTTATTGCTTCTTGGTAAACACATCATATATGCCTTAGGGCTTTTGCAATTACTGCTTTTCTCCATTGTGATAATTTTCCAGGTACTTAGCGAGGTCACTCTGCACCACACCGTTTTAATATCTCTGCTCAGATATGGCTTTTCAAAGCATTGTCCAAACATTCTCATCAAGTAAGATCTCCTTCTTTCTCTTCTCTTTGTCCTGTCTTGTTTTTCTTTATAGTATTTCTTATAATACATGATGAGTGTAAAAATTTTAATCATCTCTTTTTCCTCATTTTTCAATTAGTACAGGTTTGTAGCACATAATAGTTACATTCCATGTCTTATTTCTTGTTTTATTCCCCTCCTACATATGTTGGTCCCCTTCCCCTTTGCAAAAGATCTATCCCTATTTCCTAGTATCTACCTTTTATTTGCTCTTTATATTTTGGGTTTCTCATATAAGAGAAACCATGTGATATTTAAGCTTGTGTGCCTGATTTATTTCACTTAACATTATGATCTCAAGGTGCATCTACTTTACAATTAATGACTCCCTGTATCCTTCTTTATGGCAAAGTAGTATTCCATGGTATATAAATAACACATTTTCTTTATACATGCATCTGTTAATGGGCACACAGGCTTTAGCCTCAAGGATGGGTGGAGAGGGGAGGAAAGGGAAAAGAGATAAAAAAGGAATTAAATGCTTTATGTAGTTAGGTACGCATAACAGCTTCCCACAGGAATGTAAACATTATGTAATATATATATATATATATGCACTAAAAAACTAAAATTTAAAAATCATAAAAAAATTAGCCTCAAACATCCATGTTTTATATATTGCTATGTCTACAAAACCTGTAACAGCAATGCTTAAGTGGCTTCTCAATACATAGCCTGAAGGAAAGAAGAGAGGGAATATAAGAAGAGGGAAGGGAGAAAGGAATGCTCTTGCATTCTAGGAAACATAAATGAAAAGAACCCTAATGCTGAGCCTTCCGAGAGCTGCCTGGAGAAGACAGCATCCCTTCGCCGCTGCCCTTGGGATATCTGCCAGGGCTTCCCTCCCCACAAACCTCAGTGGCACCATTAGCAACCTGGATGCCAACGCCTGACCTGCACATCTTTGGAGGCCAACCAGACGGGGTTAATGATGGAGTACCAGGCCAAGACAAATCGGTGGAAATTAGCTCTTTTTTCCTTATGTAGCAGTCCACCTTTTCAGCAAATCCTGAAGAGACGGCCTTCACTTTACAAGCAGATTTGGGTTTTGGCCTTTTTTATTGCATCAACTGGAGTACACACTGAAGTATTTTGATTCTTGTGCAAAGAAACTTAAATACTGTCATCCAGAATTGGTGGACCTAAACTGGCTGAAAAGAAGTGCTAAGATGTACCAATGAAAAAAATCTGAGCAAAGTAACCAAGACATTAATTTATTCCATTGCATTCTAAAATAGTATATTTCAGTGAAAATGATGAATTTTTAAAATAAAATTCGGCTCATAGTTGTAAATATTCATAATGTATTTAAATCTATGTATTAACAAAATCTGCATAAAACTCCCAAAGAGGGATTCTATTAAGAACAAGGTATGATTTCTGTCTTTAAAACAGACTCATTGTAGCCTAATTGATATATTTAAAAACCCTACATATTTAATGTGTATACATCTGATTATGAGTGTGCATCCACACAAAATACTCTCATCATCTTCAAAAATGTTCTTATTTTCTTTTGCTGTTTTTTTTAAAGAAATTGGTCCTAATATTTAACATTGGACCAACACTGTCAATCCTTTTTTAAGTGCATCACACCATCTTGTTAACTATAGGCACTACCATGTACAGCAGACATCTAAAATGTAATCATTTTGCATAACTAACTTTACACTTAATGAAAATGTTTCTCCCTCCTCTTCCTCCCCTCACACTCTGACAACTAGTATTTTCTTTTCTGATTCTATTAAATTTTGCCCTTTTAAACTTGTTAATCAATTAGAATTCTGCAGTGTTTATCCTTCTGCAACTGCCTTGAGTTAGCATGTCTTTTAGGTTCATCCACACTGACACAAAAGGTATCATCCCTTCATGTTCTATTGTATGTGTATATCACATTTTCTTTATCCACTCACCTCTGGAATAATTTTGTGTTTTCATGGAGGTATAAATATCTTTCTGAGATTTTGATCTTATTTACTTTGCATATATACCTAGGAGTAGGACTGCTAAGATAGTATGGAAAGTCTATTTTTTATTTGCTTAATTTGCATGTGGGGTGCTGGGTACTGGGATCAAACCCAGAGCCTAGTGCCTGTAATGCAAGACATGTACCACTAAGCTGCCTTTTCAGCCTTCTGCTTTTAACTTTTTGAGTAGTCTGCATGTTTTTTTCAATAAGATACACACCATTTTATATCCTAACCAACAATGCACAAGAATTTCAATTTCTCCACATCCTCACTTACACACACAAGCACATGCACGCTCACACACACACACACACACACACACACACACACACATTAGCCTTATAGTAACTATCCTACCAGGTATAAGGTGATACCTCATCTGATTTTGATAGGATTTAACAGTCAATTGAGATAACTACTAACTCACAATCACAGATATATCTATCATAGACTCCAGGAGGCCCATTTCCTATGCATTTTTTAATCTCACTTGAAGTACAGTATCTAATTAAATAGGAAATGTTAAGAAATTATTTACAACCAAAGGATCATAAGGATGATATAAAATAAATTTTTTTCCAAAGATAGTCATAGACCCTTAAAGGTAAACTTCTTGAACTACTAATGTTTAACAAATACTATAACTAACATATATAACTGACTCTGGGAAAAAGTCTTTTGACTCATGTTACATGTGTATCAATTTGTGATACTATACATTTTATATTCTTAATTTCTATGACAAAATACTACACATGAGCACTGTCCTCTTGTCTTCGTTCTGCAGAAAGTTAATTGGCTTCCTCTACTTCTCCTTTTCCTAATACCCAAGATCTCAAATACGTGATTTCATTCCTTTCTTTTTTCCACTTCAGAATGAACTTCACCCTACACATTTTATTTTCATATCCTTTAGTAACTTCACTTCTTTCCCTTCATCTTGTGCCTACCTTGGGTAAGTTATTTTTCTGATCTGAGCTCTTTCCTATTAAAATGAAGAAAACACTCTTCTGTGGTCAAAGTAAAGTCAGAGTAATACAATAGCATCCCTAGAGGAGGGCAAAGTCACTCAGTTTCTCAAGCAACCTCAAAAATATTTCAAATATATCACTATACGTGTTATGTCTTCAAAGTTCTACCTGCAACTGGTTTAACATAAATGTGCCACATATGAATCAGTATATAAGGTGAATATTTAAACAATCATCGTTCTTTTAAAGTTCTCTAACACTGTTGTTCCATGATTCACTATATTTAATCGCAAATATATATTATTTTAGCTCCATTATAGGTTATAAAGATTTTGTAGACTACTTGGTAATATAACCACTAAGTATGTAAGTTTAGGATAAGTACAAGTGTATTACTGGGACTGTACATAAAATATATATATGTTATATATAATCAGATATATGTATCGAATAATATTTGTGTGCATATGTAACATATTTTCTTCCCACTAGAAGAGATCTGCAGCTGAACATAGTGGCACACACCTGTAAACCCAGCACTTGGGAGGCTGAGGCGGAAGGATAGCCAAGAGTCTGAGGCCAACTTGGGCTGCATACTGAGTTCAAGACCAGCCTGACCTACATAGCAAGACTTTGTCTCAACAAACAAACAGACAGACAGACAGACAGACACATAAATAAATAAAATGAAATAAAGGAAATTTGCACATTGTTTGAGTTTAGTTATCACTATGGGACTTTGGACAGTTTAAATAATGCTTGCACTGTAGGGTTCTCTATGAAGTGGGTGGTTGTGATTTAAAGGGAGCTTTTGAAAATTCCTTCATGTCCTACTTGACATGCATAAAACTATAGTATGTGAGGCTACTGAGTTAATATTACCAAGGTGTAAATCTTGCCATCTATATTTTGCCTTATGGCAAGGTCTGAGCTGCTTATTCATTTTTTATCTTTATAATATTACCCGGGACCATCTCTTGCAAAACATGGTCTATTGTTCTCTGCAAATGAGGAGGAATCGTGGATTTCTGAAGAAAATAACAAATAAATCTGTTAAACTATTACAGTACCCTTCTTTGATTATTTACTTTACAAAATTCTGACTTTATTAATGTATAACCAATAAAATAAGGAAGGTTAATATATGTTTTGGGAAATAATTCTCTCCTTGTTCAGAAAATGTATTTGCTTGTTTAAAACTCCAAAGCTATACTCCCGATGAGTGGATTACCGCAGTAATAGAGATGAGAAATCTCTGGCATACGTTTGAAAAACTTTCCCCTACAGGAATAGACAATAGCTGGGGATGGTGGTGCGTGCCTGAAACCCCAGCCCTGTAGGGGGCGAGAGGCAGAAGGCTGGAGGATTGCAAGTTACAGCCCAGGCCAAACAATATAAGCTTAATATAATCAAAATACATTTCAATTATATTTTGAATATAAATGGTAGGATATATAAAGTTTTCTTTGTTACTTTGATTTTTCTATGTAGCATTGTTTTCAGCAACCAGTTATCATGTGTGACACATTGAAAGCAACCCTTAGAAGTTGATATTACCAATTTTCCAGACAGTATAAAAGCATTTGAGAAATTAATATTTGACTAAGGGCACATGTCGAACAACAGATCTAGAAAAAAAAAACTTACATGTCTACATTAATTTAAACACAAATTTATTTCTCTGTATCTTCACAACTTTATAAAAATAGTTTTTAAAAAAATCCAGAAGTGGGCCGGGGATTTAGGTCAGTAGTTCTGTTTCCTGCCTCACAAGTTTAAGGTTCTGAGTTCAAATCCTAGTACCAAAAAAAAAAAAAAATCCAGAAGTATATAGTAGGGATGTAATATGAACTTCAACATTTGAAAGGTATTTCATTGCACAGCCATTTTATAAATGGTCACCCCTGAAAGCCTGTCAGGTTATCTGCTGGTTTTTTAACAACTGGTACTTGCTCGTTCCCTGAATTACCAAAACCCCAGTTTGAATACCGTGGCAAGGACAGGTATTATATTAAGAAGGAAATAAACTCATCACTTCAACTTTGTAATATTTTCTGCCCTGAAAAGGTTATTTATAAAATGTGGTCCCTTTCTGTTTATCTGAAGGAAAGTTAATTCTGTACTTTCATGTAGAACAAGTGGATGCCTATTTTACTGACAAAGTAGTCTATTATCCTCTTCAAAATACATAAAGCACTGCCCATTGGAATGGAAAGAATAGTCATTTTGTGGAGTTTAATGCATAAAATTTTGTATTTTATTATCAAACCACATAAGAGAAAATCACAGTGGATATTTAGTTGTTTTTTTTTTTAATTTGCCACAGTGAAAGTCACATTGCTATTAGCTCCCATCAAAATATACCCCTTCGGTTTGAATACATTTATGTCAACTTTAAGGCCACTTTCTGAAGCAGTCCTCTTCCGTAAATGTTGAACCAATTAATAATGATTAACTTTCATGGTCATTTTGACTTTGAAGAAGTCATGGTGTCAGATCTGGTGAATATGGTGGAGGAGGATACACTGTAATGTTTTTATTTAACAGAAATTGCCATAAATATTTGATTAATGTGGAGTGATCTAAAACTATAATCTTTAATTTTTTAAAATGTTAAAATAATAAAAGACACATTTCCATTAATCTCCTTCAAAATAATCCCACTTTGAACACACATCCCATTGTTCTTGGCAATATATCTTTTACTGTAACAAGTTTTTAAAACTTAAATAGTCACCATATATGTCAGTCACCCTATGTATAACATGCACTTTCCCTGTGTTCTTTATGTGCATGAAATCAGATATCTATCTTTATTTCTTTTTGAATTTCTAAAATATTGACTTGGAAAGATCATATATTTTAATATGAGTAACTACTGATATCACTCTTCATCTTTCAAAACCACCAGCCACCTTTTGGAATCTAGTTCCACATGTACTATATACAAAATTTCATTGAAAATCTCTATGGAAATTTGTTGCACTTATATTTTGGTGCATCAGTATAATCTTGCTAATGGTTTATAGAAGAACAGTTTTTCAATTTTCATACTAATAATTTGATCTGAAAGTAGAGTGTTATTGGCCTATATATCAAATGCTAATAAGATGAGAGAAAAAAGAATAAAGCTATTTGTTGCAGGGTAGGATGTTATGCTAATGACAATGTAAATGTAACAATGCCCTTTAAATCTCCAAATGAATAATTATAGGCAGAATTAGAGTTTTATTGCATTTTGATAAATGATTCAGAAAGCTTTTAAAAAATCTAGGGACTTTTAAAGAAATTTATGATAAATAATAGTCTCTCAAACACTTGACACAACAAAAGGGAATCATGAAACAAATAACAATAAAATTACAATTAAAGTGATTATATGTTTTAACAATAACATATGACATTTTGGGGTCCTTGTTATCAGTTGAAAAATCCAAAGGTGTTCCATATCCCATAGTATAGAAGCAATAACAGTACATTTTCTTCTTACAGTGAATTTTATTAAAAGGAAAAGGAAAGGACTATTTTCTCAGCAATGCTAAAAAGGTAAAGAAAATTTAATTGTAAATACAATGTCCATGGAAGCTTATGTTTACTGGCATTTTTGAAGGCATTCCCCCTTCCCTCCCCACTTTATCATGGTCTGGCATTTTTCCTTACCACCTATAAGGGATACAATTGTTCAAACTTCATTCCACTTTCAGCTGCCAAGAACTGATGGCTTTCCCTATTGCCTAAAACCATCTCCTTCCAGCAATGCAGACAAGACTGCATAAGTAAAACTTTCAATGAAGAAATTTCATTTAGTAGGATGGCAGGCCACCAAAATCATTGTCTCACTTTCCACAAAAGAATGCTGCTCACATTCTCTGAGTTCCTTTCCATACATCTTTACATAAAAAATTACTTTCATAAAATCTTATAAAATCTATTTCATTATTATAACTTTACCATTTCACGTGGCTAACTCTACAAAGAAAGATGTCACATTGCTGTTGTGTAACATAAATTTGCTAATTTGTGATAGAACTTTCAATTAGTATACAAACATAATGCAATATTTCACAACATCCACCATGTGCCATTTTAATTAAAAAATCTAACAAAATCCCTCATGGCAATTCATGAAAGAATTTAGTTCTTCAAGATGTAAGAGGACTGCCAAATTTTTAACCAACAAAACTACAATACCAACAAAAAAAATGTGGTTGACCATTTATAAAATTTTTTAAAAATCATGAATCAAAGAATACCCTCCTAATTAAAAGCTAAATTTTAAACCAAATACTGAAAACAAAACTACTTATTTGTTTAATATATTTAATTACAGTCTTGAAAAACAAAGGGGTGAGGAGGTTTATTGCCACAAAGGTGTGTTTGTAGTAACAATATTTATATAAATATTATCGATGAATATAATATATATACGTATATATTTTTATTACATTGTCACTAACCAGCATAAATTTTGAAGGCCTCAGTGCTATCCCAGGAATAGTGAAGCGTGTTCATAACCCAGATTTCCCCCTGAGCCTTGCGTAGTGAGGGCTTTGTGTTTGTGTCATTTGTCCCTTGTACCTAGAGTAAACACCCAATTCAGGTGCACACTCAGCCTATGGTGTCAACTTCATTTGAACAAGTTTCCATCAGTTGGGCTCACTCTAGTAACCATATTTGTTGGGAAATAAAATTTAAATTTGGTGGTTATTGAGTGATCCTCAAATCCTTGGTAAAAGATACAGATTTAAGCCTAATGAAGTCATCATTGTTAACTAGTAGTCGCTCTTACTAAAATTACGTAAGTTTATGCACTCCAACTTTCTCTTAAAATATATTTTAATCCAGTGGTAGTCACTACCTTCCTAAGAATACAATATAATTCACTTATATTTGAGACATTGTTGCTTGCTGACACTTCTGAAAAATGGGAACACATCTCAGGATATATTAATTTTGCCTCTTCAACATCAGAGCACAGGGTTGTAATCATATAGAATGTTCAGGAAATTAAAAAGTTGAATAACAAAATACATAACTTTCCATGGTTGATGAGTACTATGGTGAAATGACTCATATTTTTGTATATTTTTATATAGAAACCTACAAATCTCCTACTTCATGTCAGATACTACTCTAGGAAGCTGGGTTAACAACAGAGACATACGGGATCCTTTGCAGCATTTGATATGCTAAGCTGCAAAAGACAGAGATGTTATAATAAGCGCTGTGAAGGAAACCAGAAAGCTACCAAGATCAAGACTCAAAGGAGACAACCACTCTGGCCAGGTGATAAAGAATGATTTCTCAGGTAGAGAATTTGAGCTGAGCTGTAGTTTGAGCTGGAGGGCAACAGGCCAGCATTGGGGACAGCACAGAGGTGACACTGCTTCCTGTGTTCTGGGTAGTATGAGATCAATGTGTCAGGAATGCTCAATGAGGGGAGGATGGGTTCTGCTGAGGTTAGAGAGGAAAGAGCAAGTGTTCAGAGAGTGAACTGTATGCTACAGGAAGGAATCTGCTGTTAGTGTTAACCAATCTTTGTGTTTCTGTGTTTACTCATTTTTTAATGCACTCA